AGATGGTGGCAGAGTGCTAAGCCCAGCTTTGATCAGCAGGGCTGTTACAGGAAGAACATACAAGTTCCGTCCTATATGAGCCAGTGTCTTTCTGGCCCTAAGTGGCAGGGGACCACTTAGAAGGTGATGACAGCAGCCAGCTATGTCCCACTCTCTCTCCCACCTAGAGGCAGAAAGGGTCCCCATCACCAGCAGATCCAAGTGCTAACGTACTGTCCCTGAGCCACCCCTCTGGGAGAAGACGATCTGTGGCTACTTGGTGTCCCAGGAGCTGCATTTTGACATCTCAAACTCTATCCCTACAGCCTGCCACTCATTCAATTAACCCAACAGTCCTGAAAGCTAAAAAGGTTCTCCATTTCTTGTGTTTCTAGTCTCTGTGTCTCAACTTAAGCTTTACACATTTCACTCAATGTCGGATCACCTATAAGGGTCACTATGAGATGGAACTGACTCGACACTTAACAACAACAATTATGTGCCAGACACTATGCTAAGTTTCAGGGTGCCAAATGCTCAAGACTGAGCTCTTACTGCAGAGTAGCCCCCAGACTTCCAGGGGCAGGTTGTATCTGAAAGCAAGACAGTTGATTCTAACGACTCTCACATAATTCCAACTTTCTGTGCTGTAAGAGGAGAGGAGGTTACATTTGACTCTGCATGGTGAGCCTAAGAGGGCTTCAGAGAAGATGGGCTATGTGAGCACGGAAGGAAGAAAGGATCCTTTCAACAGAAACCTGGGTGAAGGCAAAGGTTAGGGCTGGGAGAGCATGGGGTGGTGCAGAGAAGAGGAGTGCAGATACAAATCCAGGACATTCTCTGATGACCCTGCCAGAGTGAATTCGGGGCCAGAGTGATGAGGAACATGGGCTTTGGAGCAGAACACTCTGCAGCTTAGAGTCCTGCTTTGCCGCTCGGCAGGATTGTGGGTTTCCGAGCCAGTCTCTGAAGTCAAGGTCTGGGCAGGTCATCTGACTTCCCTGTGCCTCCCTCAGGTTTCTCCTCTGTAAAATGGAAAGAATGTACCTACTCCTCATTTACCAACATGGCTAGGTTCTAAAGACCAGGTCATTATGGGGGAAAGGAGACTGACCACATCAGATCACAAGCGGGGGACAACTACATCATTGCACAACTGCCAAGCCCCTGAGAAGCATGGCCCAGCCGTGCTGACACATCAGCTTAACCACTGCAGCCAGCCTTTCTCTCGCCTAGCACCTCCAGCTTTGCTACTGCTAGACATATGTCGTTCATGGGCAAAAATAATTGGATGGATTTTTTATTATTGTCACAAATGCGAAATGTCAGGTCATGAAACTCAGTAAGTGAAAAGTAGGTATAATAATGCTTACCTCATTGGGTGCTTGTAAAGACTGAAAGGGCACAATCGGATACCATTCCTAATAACCTCGTCAGTCTCGTTTCCTCCTTCTAGAAAACAGGAACTTGCAGGGGTTCAAGGGACAGGCCAACCCCTGCCGAGGTGCTGGCCCACAAGTCTCTCCACAATTGGGTATTTCTGAGGTTGGATTTCCAGTATGCAAAGTCCAGCAGGAAGTGCATCCAGCCATGGCTGGAAGAGCAGGATGGTGAGTTCCATGGCATTTCCAGGCTCTGGCTGAAAGCCTCAGGTCACCATGGAAAAATTCTGATGACCTCTGGAGCCATGCAAGGTCATCCCGGTGTCTACCTCAGCAGAGGCACTGGGTGGGGGCGGGGGCTGGGCCTGTAGCTTTCCAGGGGCAGTGGCCATGCAACTCCAGCCTGCTGTTGACCATCAGGAATGAAGGGACAGCTCTTCTCTTCTCTCCCAAGAAGCCAGAAAACCAAATGAGTATTTAACTGGAGGGTCTCACCTTGAAATGTTAGAAACTAATTCCTTAGTGTTGGAAACACTGAGCTGACCACAACAACCCTGTTCATGCAGCTTCCAGACCAGCAGTTCACGACTTCTGACTGAAGGGTACTTTGCAAGCAACATTTATATAACCCCTACTAGCAATCTCTCCCTGAAAATTCTCAGGACTTTGTTGAAGAAAGAGGAAAAAAAAAAACCCACAGACTATTTCTGCCCAGAGCTAAGACCAAAGGCCTCTAAACACCTCAGAAAACGTTTCTATCTTTGGGCATCTCTGGGGACTAGGCAAGCAATTTCTCTCCATTATTTCAAGTCACTTTTAGTGGTCCTCTACCCCCACCAAGGAGTCCTGCTGTGGCACTATGGGTTAATGCACTGGACTGCAAAGCCATTTGAACTGCAAGGTCGGCAGTTCAAGCTCACTAGCAGCTCCTTGGAAACCCTATACAGGGTCGCTATGAGTCAGAACCGACTCAACGGCACATAACAACAACACCACCAAACACTCTCTTTAAGCCAACCTTTGTATCACGTTCTCTATGAGCCAGATACTGTTTGAAGCACTTTACACAGACCATCTCATGTGATCCTCGGGATACCCCATGGGGCTTTATAGAGGGGGAAACTGAGGTACAGAGAAGTTAAGGAACTTGCACAAGGTCAGAGCCCGGTGGGAGTTGGACCCAGGCAGACGATTCAGGGTTGGTGCTGGTACCTTTCACTCTAGGCTGCCTGGCACCTGGCCACAGGCTCTCAGGGCCTGGATTCCCTGCGTCATAGGTCACTTCCTCAGGCAAAAGCCATCATCACTCTCCCTGAGCACATACGGCTCTGCAGAAGTCAGAACCCAGCCAGGGTATCCCAAGAGGGCCCAGCGCTGGGCATGTACCAGAGCCAGACTCGAGGACCAAGTCTCCCATCCTCCTCGCCCACCTGGAATGACAGCCCCAAAACTGAGCTGGCAGTGCGACCTGCAGACAGTCCGTCTCCACACTGATTCGGTGCTAAGTTAGGCCCAGTCATTGTCTCACAAGGAGCAAACCAACTCTTGTCTACAACCCACCTGGTTCTCTCTCACCTAGCCAGGGCTACTGGTAACTGGAAATTGTCAAATGAAGGTTTGCTCTGATTCCAGAATCTCATTCCCGGCTGGAGCACACACGCGCACATGCACACTCTCCAGCCTCAGGTGCAAGAGGTGGCTGAGTGAAGTACCAAACAGAGAAGAGGACAGCTGTGTGGCCCAGACACACAGATGCAAACATCAGCCAGGTGTTCTCGGGACCCCAGAGGCAGCCCACTAAACTTCCTCGAGCACCTGTACCAGCCTCTTTTCCCAGCCTGCAGGGACGTGTCAGAGACTAATGAGATGACCTTGCATTAGCCCCATCACAAAACTCTTGGGAAGTGTGCCTCGGGCTGGGTCTGACTTAGTTCAGGCTGCATCGGACAAGCGTTGTCAGACAGGCTGGGCCACCAGCAGTGCTGGCAGCACCGTGGCCGGCTCACTGCTGCTCTGCAGGCTCAGGCCACCCCATCCCGGCCTCTGAGTCAGCCACAGTCAGCCACATGCCTGGACTGGACAGCAGGTGGCAGAAAGGAGAGATGCTGCCTGCTTCTGATTAGCTCCTTCTTGCCAGGGGCATTTAGAAATCCAGTTAAAGAGCCCTCCTCCCCCAGGAAGCCCTCCCAGCCCTGAAGAGCTACTATTCACCGCCAGCAATGACCATTTGCTGTCTAGCCTGGGGCTGTGTCATAAAGTACCAGGTATTAAGCATTTGCTATGTGCCAAGTGCAGTGTCAAGGGCTTCACATAAAGTGTTTGACTTAATCCTCAAGCTAACTCTATAACATGGATGTGGATTTGACACACTTTACCACTGAGAAAACAGCAGCTTGGGCAGGTCAGCTACTACAGTGTAGGGAATTATTTGGATTCCTGGTGTGGTTCTGTAGGATCAGCACTGGACTTCGAACCACAGAGCAACAGCTCAAACCTACCAGCTGCTCCTCGGAAACCCCATACAGGGTTGCTGTGAGTTGGAACCAACTCAATGGCACATAACAACAGTGTTAGTCTTTGTAACTCCCACCAAATCACTCTTTTACAAGAAGGATTTGGGAAAAGATACTGACAGGATGCTATGATTCAGTTGTGACTGTAAAAACTTGGAACTCTAACATGGGTCATCTCAGAAGCAGAGCCAGGAATGGAGCGGATCCTTTGGACCCTGAGATCCCTACACACTGAACCTCCTTGACCCAGGGACAGAAAGCTATGACACCGGAGGAGTGACAAAGAGAGAAGCAGGAGCAGACCCAAGAACCAGAACGTGAGATGCGGCCGTGTACTTCCAGCCCACGGAGCAAGTAAAGCTGAGTGACTGTAGGCAGGAGACTTGCAGAGTGGGGTGCCTCCAGACTGAGGCGTATGGTGGAGTAGTGTGCCCTGTGAGCATTTATCAGCAGCCCTAAAGGAGCTTTGGAACACTGGCCAGGCTGAGAGAGGCCATCCTGACTGGAAGAAGTGTGCCCTGAACACTTGTGAGCCTGCACTGTAACCTGTTACTGAGTCCCAGAGCTGTGAGTGTGCTGTCTGAGTTCTCTGTGGTCGCTGCAGTGACTCATCACAGCTGGCTGAGGACAGAGGGCTGGCTGGTGTCATTTCTGTCTGGAGATACGATATGTGTCCTGCTTCTCTGCATGGAGCTGCAGTCTCACACCAGATGACAAGCTCTGTCCTGGCACCAGAGAAAACATTCGCCCTTTCTTCTACCCAAGTCCTTGGCTTATCATTGAACACCAGGTAACTGTAGCACAAGTAGCCTTCATTAAGCCAGGTGTGGCATTAACCAATTGACCATATGACCATGAATCCCTGTGTATGTTGTGCAGTATCTTATGCCAAAAAGTCCCAGCTTACGCTATCACGAAATTATCAGGAAAACTTTCCTGAAAGGTTTATCCTTCAGTGATAAAGAACCAAGGCTCTGAGGAAATGAAGTGTTGCTGGGCTTAATACTACCCAGGTGGCCTTGTGGGATGTTTCTGGCATTCCTTGGAAGCCTAGAGTCAGATGGGAGGCTCTGGGGAGACCCACCTGGCCGCACACAATGTGCCGGGGGAACCCCACGGGTCTCACCTTTGGTGGCGTAGGCCTCCGCAATCATCCGCAGCCTGTAAGGGGGGATGGCTGTCAGCGGCAGATCATCGAGGCCCACCCGGGCATAGATGTTGAGTGCTTCTTTATAATCTCCTTCCACATAATTCAGCTTGGCCATGATCACATTGGATTCTTGTAGGAATTCTGACTAGAAGGAAAAGGAGAGAAAAGAACCATTTTCCTATACGACTCTCAGGCAGGGCACAGCCATCTGAGGTTGCACAACCCCCCAGTTCTGCCCTCCCCACACCAGCATGTGGACAAATGTGCATAGCAGCTGTACTCAGAAGAGCCTATGAGTGGAAACAAACCAAATGTCCATCCAGGGATGAATGGCTGAATCAAATGTGGTCTATTGCATACAATGGAATATCAGCCTTAACAAGAAATGAAGTACTGGTTCATGGTGCATCATGGATGAACCTCGAAGCCACCACAATAAGTAACCAGTCACAAAAGGCCACACAGTGTACGGTTCCATTGCTGTATGTCCTGTCAACTGCCATCGAATTGATTCTGACTCCTAGTGACCCCACAGGACAAAGAACCGCTCCTTAGGGTTTCTGAGACTGGAAATCTTTATGGGAGCAGACAGTCTCATGTTTTCTGATGGGTTTGAACCAGCGACCTTATAGTTAGCAGCCCAATGCTAAATCCACTGCCCCACCAGGGCTCCTTAGGACATGTTCAAAATAGACAAATCTATAGTCAGAATCAACTCAACGGCACTTAACAACAACAAACACATAGAGACAGAAAGCAGATTTGTGGTTGTCGGGGACTGGGGAAACTGGGGAGACAAAAGGTTTCTTTCAGAGTGATGAAATGGCTCTACAATTGCCTGTGGTTATAGCTGCACAACCCTGAATATACAGAGAACCATAAAATGCATCCTCTCAGTGAGGAACTGGATGGCAATTGAATTATATCTCAATACTGTTGTTAACAAAACAAAAGGCCTGCAGCGCTCCTCTGGCCCTGGGCTGGCCTGGGCTGGGCTGGGCTGGGCCAAGGACAGAAGGAAGGCTGCTTAAGTAAAACATACAAACACCCACCCAAAAGAAAGGAAGCTGCTGACTGACGGCTCTGGATGCTGCCCACTGTCCTACCGGTGCCCTACAAGACTGTAGCCCAAGTAACCCACAAAGGAGAGAGGCCTTTATAAATCAGTGCCAATATCAGAAATTGCTTTCTTTCCAGGGAAGGATTTTTCTTGGAGCCAGTCCAGTCTGTGAAGCTAAAGTTACTGAGCCTTAGTCCCCTCCCCCAAAGTTCAGCTTGTTAAACTGAGCCCTGATCCTCTTCCCCAAGGCCAACCCTGTTAAGTTGAGGGTACTAAGCCCTGGCCTCCTCCCTGAAGGCCTAGCCTCTTAAGCTGACATTATTGGGCCCTGGTCCACTCCCTAGAAGGCCCATGTTAAGCTGAGATGACTGAACCCTGGTCCCCTTCTCCAGAGACCCAGGCTGTACTAGCCTGCTGTCAGCTCTCCTTCCTCTCCAACCAGGAGATGTCTACTTCCCCAGCCCACCCCTACCGGCCGCAGACTCTGCCCTTCTCCCTTCCTCAGCTGAGTAAAGAAGAGCCACCTAGTCATCTATATAAGGAAACAGATTCATCACCCTCGCCCGGGCCTGCTCCTTGGAACTTGAGCTATTCAAGGTTACATTTTGCAGCTTCCAGCAACAAGCATGCTGCTGAACTCATTTCCAATCTACAGTTTGGACAGAGGTGGGGAACGGGAGAAGAGACCCACCAGACACAGTGAAGCAGCTGTTTTAGCCAAGGTGAGGGGCACCCAGGCGTTTTGTGAAACGAAACAGGCTACAGGATGATAACATGGACAAAGAGGTCGAAGGAAGCCAAAGGTTTTACAAAGAAATGCAGAAGTTTTCATCCACATGATCAAAGGTCAAACTGCCCAGAGGCCCAAGACCCAGGGACCCATGTAAGAAATTAGAATTCGATTTGGAAACAGAGAAATGAAAGTAGACTGAAGAAAAGAGAATTGGTGTAAAATTAGCACCCCCGGTAAGGTTCCCTGCCAGGCCTGGGGACAGGCCAGACTTGATGCTTAGAAAGCACTTCCTCAGAGGTTCTGCTGTATCTTCCGTCCTTCCCCAAAGCCCTCCAGCATCTGAGAACACTGAAGCGTCTGCTGGATGGACAACGAGCAGAGGCTTGAAGAAAGTGATTAGTCTACAGGCTCAGGATGAGGGCTCTGGGGCACCTGGCTGGGCAAGTCCAGCTGTGGAATCATGCCCCAGACGAGACTGCTTGGCCAAGGCCTCCAGGCTGCCGGCATCAACACAGCGCCTGACGCTGACTTGCCCGTGAGGACGATTTTCTGACAAGAATCAGAAACTAGGTCTCCTGAATCCTACTCTGGTCTGACCAGCATGGAGCTTTAGCGACTCCCAGCCAGGAGACACTTTTGGACCGAAAGTTAGCAAAAGAGGGCACATAGGAGACCTGGCGTGGTGCTGTGGGTTAAAGTGGTTAAAGTGCTGGACTGCAAGGTCAATTTGAACTGCAAGGTCGGCTGTTCAAGATCACCAGCCGCTCCTTGGAAACCATATATAGGGTCGCGATGAGTGAGAACCCACTTGACGGCACCTAACAACAACAATAGTACTTCCTAGTTGACAGTACAGTGCCTGGGTCTTAAAAGTTCCCAAGGGGCCATCCAAGGCCCAACAATTGGTCTCTATTTGCCTGGAGCAAAAGAGGAAGGAGAAGAGTCAGAGATAGAGATAGGAGGAGGAGCTGAATGGGGGAGGGGGGGGCTAATTACCTTCTCAAACAACTGCCTCCTTTGCCATGAGACCAGAAGGACTGGATGGTACATGTAGAAACTGCTGAACTGGTCTGTTCTGTTGTTCATAGTCTCAACAACAAGAATTTTTTTTTTTTTTTTTAATTTAAAAAAGAAAAGAGGGCACATCACCTGTCTCATTAACTCGTGTGAGTGGGGCAGCATACCGAGGAAGAGCTGTGACTCTGGAAACTTCTTTATAAGAACCAGAAAGGGCCACAGGAGACTAATTCTCTAGGCAGAACCAGTAACAAAACAATGAATGCCATGGAATCAGCGTTGGACAGTTCTACAAGCTCTTCCCACATTGGAGCCTCACAGCAATGCTCACAGATGAAAAACCAGAAACTCAGAGAGGTAAAGAAACTTCCCAAGGCCACACAGCTTAGAAGTCCAAAACTGGGACTGAGATTCAGCACTGTTGACTTTAAATTCAATGTTCTTACTGCTGCAATGGGTTAGGGAGGATGGGAAACAAAACGGGGAGAGAAATTAAATGGACCAGCATCTGGAGGTCATTTGTCAGGAGGAAGCTAGCTGGGTTAGAAGTGGGAAAGAAACGAGCCAGATGCCAGGCCTGGAGCACTGGCTCTTCAGTCTTCCTCATTTCACAGTCAGATGTGCACACCCCCAGCAGACACTGAGGCGGGCTGTCTGTCACTGGGAGCTGTGGTCCACATGCCTATTGTACCTCTGCCCTCTGTAGCCGATCACAGCCACTAGTGGTTCAGAACAACTGATAAGGAGAAAGCTGTTCCCTAACTTTGACCAGAAGTCTGGTGTGGCGCTGTGAGAGAAAGGGAAGGGATAAAGGGAGAAGGCTTGGTGTTTAAAGCCCCAAGAGCAGCCCTACAGCCCTGAAAAGCTGAGATCCCTGAACTGTTAAAAGCGATACTGTTGAGCTGACTCTCGGGGGTCTGGAGCCTGTCCAGTGGAGACAGACAGACACAGAGCCCATTATGAAAGGGGGCTTCTGTCGGCTGACAGACACTAACTGATATCATCGAGTCTGACTCATGGTTACCCAGGATTTCACATGGCACAGAGAGTTTGCTCTCAGTTACTGACCTAATGGTTGGTGGTTTGAACCCACCAAGCAGCACCAGGTAAACTGCCTGGATTGATCTACTTCTGCTGAGTTTACAGCCAGGAAAACCTTTTACTTTATGTCACATGTTAGACACAAATATTAACTTCTTCAAATATTGCAACAGGGCCAGGGAAGTGAGCAGATGACAAAGAGGAAGGGGATCTCAAAACGAAAGCTCACATCTGGCAGCACGTGGGTCCTGGGAGGGTCCAAGCTCACCCCTCAAAGAGCCCACGTCATTCAAACCTACAGAAACAGTCCCAGAGAGAGAAGTACCCTCCCCAGAGTCACCCGGCAAAGCGGGAGCTGGTACTAGTCTCCAATACCCAGGGAAACACAGCATCTCTTGGGGAAAGATTCACAAACAACCAAGAGCTAGCTTCTGAGAGTTCTCAGACAGGGAGACAAGAACACTCATCAAGGTTATAAGGACAGAAGTCAAGAGGTCAAAAGTTCATCCAAGAATGGCTAAAATAGCAAGTTTTTATTGTATACGAGGGGCTTCAAAAAAATGTGAGCACAAATGGAAATAAAAGACTATGGAATGTTTCCAAGAAGCCCCTTGACATATTTCGTCACAATAGTATTTTTTACAATTGTAAAGGTAGAAGTTTTGTAACAAAATCGGGGGAGTAGTTAATCTTACAGTCCAGAAACAGAGGACCCTAGGACCATCAAGGGAGACGAGCACAAGTGGAATGTGGGACCTTATCCAGAGAAGCAGTAACACCAGAGATGGTGGCAGAGATGAGGACATGGAGAGAGAGAGAGCAGCTGAGGACTCTAGACTCATGGAAAGAGAGGGACTGGGTGCTGGCGGCCAGGAGGCAGGCTTGCAGAATGTGCCCTTTGGTGGTGTAAATTATTATATATGCCTGAGTATTTAAAAGAAAAGAGCTAAAATGAATATACAGAAATACTGTTAACTGATAGTACATGAAGGGGATTATAATCATTGTAATGAAACAAAGTATATGCTTCGCTGAATGTAAAACTAATGATCTGCCCTGTAAACTTTCACTCAAGTCACAATAAAAATTAAAATAAAATATTATTTTAAATAATAATATTTTTTTTAAAGTCCACTAAAGACTACTCCTTCTCTGAAGGAGATAGATACACATGAGGGAAACGTCCTGAGAAGATGACCAAGACGAGCTGGCTGCAATCAGCGATGTGAACTGAGTGACCTTGGGGCTGGAGAAGTGACCATCAGAGTCATTTGGGCAGTGAAGCTAAGGAAGAAAGCAAGATGGGGTCTACAAGAGACTAGAGAGCACGGAAGAGAAACACAGGGGACTGCAGAAGGTTCCCAGGTCACATGCATTAGGGTCACGTTCAGGACTTCTGCCCAGGGTCCCTCCCAGTACAGACACCCACACACAGCTCTGGGCCAGAGCCACATGCGTGAGGCAGGAAACTGTGTGTTAAGTGACACTTATCTCTTTGCCACAGTGGGGCAACTGTCAGGTTGAGCTCTGAGCCACAGACCTCGAGCACCTGGCCAAGATTAGGGTCATTTTTCAGGAAGAATGTGTCACTGATGAAACACTCATCAGAGAACTCCTGTTGACCTGAACCCCCTCCCCATCCAGATGGTCATTCAGTGAGTTGGTCTGACAGATGAGCTATGCAGAGGACAGACAGCCTCAAGCGCTCCCAGCTGGCCCTTGGGTATCCTTCCACGCTCTAACAGGAAGGCGGATGGTAACCATGCACTCGCCACCAAAGGAGGTACCAGCATCGTCTCCTCTCCACCGTGTCTCCTTCACCCTTGAGGCTCATGGTACCTTGAGGTTCCCTCGGTCCAGGGCGGCAGTCAGATGCTTTCGGACCTCGGTCAGCTGGGGCCTGGGGCCTCGGGGGCTGGTCCCCTGCCTCAGGGGGTGTTCCTTCAGGTACTGCTCCAGCTTCGACTCCCCGAGGAGGAGTTCTGCCATGTCATCTACAAACACAAAGAGAGAAGCTAAACTGGAGCGAGGGTGGTCCCCAAAGACCTCAGGCCCACAACACCCTAATGCTCCAGACCCCAGCAAGGCCCTTCTGGAACTTCAGAATCTTAGATAGGGTCCAAGCAGGCACCATCTTACATGAATTCCATTCGTTAGCAAAGAATGTTCTGGCGTACACACTCCAGAAGGCGTGGGCTCAGATACTCATTCCTGTCACCAGCTTATTGCCACTGGAGTGATGGATACAGATTAACACAGAGAGAGCTCACGTTGAGTAAAGGAAAAAAGACGTTGTCTGATGATATAGTCAATGTGACTTTTATAAAATACACACAAAATCTAACACTAAGCATTTTCTAAGAGTGGGCTTTTGTAAGTTGCATGCTCTTCTACGTGGAGGAGATGGGTTACTAGAATGTATGGACAGAATGTTTCTATCACAGCCACTTGCCATTCAGTCGACTCTGGCCCACACTGATCCCCTGGGTGTCAGAGTAGAACTATGTTCTGTAATGTTATCTCATGGCTGATTTTTCAGAAGTAGATCACCAGGCCTTTCTTCTGCTGTACCCCTGGGTGGATTCGAGCCTCTGACCTTTCAGTTTACAGCCAAGTACGTTAACTATTTGCACCTCCAGGGCCTCTGTTTCTAAGGACACTAATATCTGAGAATGTTAACATGTGTTTACTCCTAAAGGTGTACTGTTTTACAACATAACTTGCTGGTGTCTGTGTTGGTTTGTTAATGAGGAAAAGCAGCTCACTCTTGGGTGGGCTCATTGGAATCCACATGCACAGACTGCTCGGAATAAACCCGGAACAATTCCTGCATCAAGCACGATCTACTTTGTGATAGAAAAGCCGTTTTAAATGGGCTCAAGCCCTCGTAATAGTTAACTCTGGGCTGCAGGAGAGGGGACCTCAGTTGGGACTAGAATTTTAACTTTATCTTCAACAAACTGGTCTTAGAAAGGAGAGTAAATTTAACTATAGACTAAAATTAACTTGAAAAATCATCAGTAAGACCCACACACAAAGATTCTGGGTGGTAAAAGGTCACCAGAGGAGGCTGGAATCAGAAGCAAGAGAAAGCCTTTTAAAGTTGCGGAACCTCCCGCTAGGCACAAAGGGATCAGACCATTGTGAGCACTGAATGCTTTTCAGAAGAGACTGCCAGGACTTTCTTCCCAGTCTGGAAGCTCCTCTGCTAAAACCCATTCAGTGTCACAGCTGCACACAAGTCTGCACTGACCCCAGGTCTCTCACACAGAAGGTGAGAATTCTACCTCCAAACCACCACTGTCCCCCGTCTGAGAACTCCTGTTGTTGTTATTGGTCAGTGCCGTTGAGTCAGTTCCGACTCATTGCAAACCTGCATAAGGTTTCCAAGGAGCAGCTGATGGGTTTGAATTGCTGACCTTGTGGTTCGCAGTCCAGTGTCAACCCTACAGCATCACACCAGGAGTCCTCTGAGTACTGGGACACCTAAACTTATCTTCTAGAGCTGCAGCCTGCGGACCTGGGACGAACCAAGCAACATCAAACCAGGGCCGAGTTCAGTGACAAATGTCAAGAACTCTTCAGGTATCTGGGGCGGAAAAGCATCTACAGAGCAGGGAGAAAACCGGAAAGGGCGTGCAGCAGCCTTCTACACCAGGAGACGACGAGCAGATGTCCACAGAGCAGACACGATTGGTGCCCAAGTGCACCAGCAGCATGGGTCCTTCTTTATAAATGAAGAGATGATTTCTAGTAAGGGCTATGGGACGGAGGCCCAGTGCCCACCAAGTGCTAAGAGTGGGTACCAGGGTAATTTCCATAGGGAATACTGAATGTGCTGGTGGCTTCCAACTCATAGTAAAACCCTGTACAGCTTTCTGAGGAACGGCTCTGGTGAGTGTGAACCACTGACCTTGTAGTTAGCAGTCCAGTGCTTATCCTACAACGCCACACCAGGACCCCAGGACACTGAATACCTATGAGAATTATAGCTACAGAACAAGATGTAATTGTGGCAAACCTCACTTAAAACCCACAGTCGTCCAGTTGATTCCAACTCACAGGAACAAAGTAGAACTGTCCTATAAGGGTTCTTATGCTGACATCTTTATGCCATCATTTCTAAATCTTTGCCCCTGGGGAACGGCTGGTGGGTTTGAACTGTTGTTGACCTTCCAGTTACCAGCCCAGAGCCAAACCGTTGTACCATAAAGAGTCTATTATAGATTTCTTGTTGTTGTTAAGTGCCGTGGAGTCAGTTCTGACTCATAGCAACCCTGTATAGGGTTTCCAAGAAACAGCTAGTGGGTTTGAACTGCCGATATTGTGACTAGCAGCCCAGTACTTATCCTACAGCACCACACCAGGACTCCATAAGGCTATGACAATGATCAGAGGATAATCAGTTTATAAGACTACATCTAATTACACATAAAACACGATGGAGACAACCTAAATGTCCATCAGCAGAAGAATGGCTAAACACACTTTGGTGCATATACACAACGGAATACTACAAAAAGGTGAAGAGTGATGGTGAATCTGTGAAACTCTTCACAACATGGTTGAACCTGGAGGACATTATGCTAAGTGAAATTAGTCCATCGCAAAAGGATAAATATTGTATGAGACCAATGTTGTAAAAAGTAAAAAAAAAACAAAAAAACACCTTTTCCTGATAAAAGAAACAATCTATGATGTTTAGGGGTTAGACTTATTCATGGGCAGTATTTCATTCTGTTGTGTATAAGGTCACTATGAGTCGGTGCTGACTCGATAGCACCTAACAATAACAAAGAGTAAACCCATGTTGACATGTGTGACAGGCCGGGCAATATACAGCAAGAGGGAGGTTAGCACAGGAAAGACAAAGGTAGTGGAGAGACACAGGGAGGAATGCAATAGTTAAAGTGAACAGAGGTAAATACTGTTAACTACTGATGCATGGAGGAGATTGCAACCATTTAGCATAGTGGTGACGAATCGGGCTGCGAACCACAAGGTCAGCAGTTCGAAACTACCAGCTGTTCCGTGGGAGAAAGATGAGGTTTTCTGCTCCTGTAAAGATTTACACCACAGAAACCCTGTACAGGGTCACTATGAGTCGGAACAAACTCCATGGCACATAAATACAACAACCACAATGAAACAAAGTAAACTGATAGTCTGCTTTGTAAACCTTCACTCAATTCACAAAAAGTTGGGGGTAAAAAGAATATGTCTAACTATTTATCTTTATGTATACCTTATAAGAACATCTAGAATTATTATCTGTTAGTGCAAACAAAAGGAATTTCAGATGATAGGCTTCTCGGTAATTTTTTAATTCTCACCTTTGTAATTTGAATAATTTATAATAAGCAGAATTATTTTATACTACGAGTTTTATGGGGAAATTTTTTACTCTTCTTTCAAAATTGTTCATTTATAAGGCAGTGAGCAATAAGAGTACCAGCATAATTGGGGCTAATTTTTTAATGTTAAATTTCCATACACACAAGAACAATTTTAAAATATATAAGTCAAGAAAATTAATAAAATTTTTTTTTTTTTTTTTCCATGAAATGAAACCTCAGTTTGAACTGCATGACTTTGGCCAAATGCTTTCCCCTCAGCATTTAGTGGCAATTCTAAGTTCTCTCCACACATCTGATTAGAGAATTTGTCTCTGCTTTGACCCCAGGCTCCTGCAGCTGCCCCCCTGCTTCCTGACTTGGAGCCCACATCTGCACGTGGGTGCTCAGAGCAGAATCCCAGGCCAGACAGCAGAAAGGAGGGGAGACCAGGGCTGACCCCACCATAGAACAGGCCCCCTACTACCTGCTACATCTTTCTAGCTATGAGTCCAGGGACACACTGCCTACCCTCTCAAAGCATCCATTCACCCATCTCTATATGGAGACGTGCATCACCAGCACCCTCAAAAGGCTATGGACTGGGAACAAATCTTTACAGCGAGGACCATTCCCAGCCCTCCATACACAGGGTAGACCGGGATGGGCAACTTGGACATTGGCTACCCAAAATGGGGGGCTACAAAGGCAAGAAGTGACTGGCTTACAAGCTTTCAAGAGGGAACCTAGATCCAGAGGGCGTGGAGGAAGGTAGACTCTCCACTGAGTAGTATCCAATCTGTCTGGGCGGGGCAGATAAAATGGGGATAGGTCTCTTGTGGTACAACAGTGAATAATTGTTATCAAGACTGACTGTGAGGGTTGTAAATGTAAAGGTGGATGTTTTATAGCAAAAAGAAGGGAGTGATTGACTTTGCAGTCCAGGAGCAGAGGTCCATGGGTACCATCAAGGGCGAAGAGCAGAGTGCAGGACCCTACCCAGAGAAACAGTGACGCCAGAGATTGAGGTAGAGACGATGACATGGAAAGATGGAGCAGCTGGGGACTCTAGACCCAGAAAGGGAGAGGGGCTGTGTGCTGATGACCGGGGGGCAGGTTTGCAAGATATACCCTTTGGTTGGTTGTTGATGCATGGAGGGGACTGTAACCATGGCAATAAAACGATATACGATAGGATGAATGTAACGCTAATGTTCTCCCATGTAAACTATCACATAATTCACAACAAAACAAAAGGAAAAAAAAGACTATGGACTGGTTCTAATGAGTTCTGCAGTGGGGAAATGAGGTGGCCTGGAGTGACCACGCCTCTCTCCTGGGCTCACAGGATAAGTAGGACCGGGACTGACAGACAACAGAGAGAAGGACAAGTCAGGCTGAGGAACTGCATGTCATAAACAAAGGTGCAATGATGAGGACAGTCCACAGAGCAAAGAGGCCGTAAAGTCTGGCGGGGCTCCGTTATGCAGAGCACCTATGGCTCCCCATGGTGAGAAGAGGATGGAGTCCCCATGTTCTCCATACACACCTGCCCTCTTCCACTGGGCACACCACCATGACTTGGGGAGCAACTATCTTCAAGTCCTTCTGACCTCTCCCCCTACATGCCCCACCCCAGAAGCACCTTGATACTTAGCTAGGTATCACAACTGTCTACCCCTTCAAAGCTGTTGGAAAGAGATTTAGTTGTGAATCTCAGGCCAAGTCCAATGTTAGCAGAGTCAGAGCTCCCTAAAGGATGAGACAATTCGCTGGCTAAAGTCAAACCCATACCTGCTGCTGTCGAGTCAATTCCAGCTCTTAGCAACCCGACAGAATTTCCAAAGCTGTAAACCTTTACAGAAGCAGACTACCCTGGCTTTCCCCTGGGGAACAGCTAGAGGGTTCGAACCATTGTGCCCCCAGGGCTTCCAATCCAATGGCAGGCCAAGGCAATCCGACTATATCCTACAGGGTTAAGCCTGTCCCTGCCTGTAGCAGTCTGCTACTTGTCCCCAAATATTATTCTCCCCTTTGTACCTATGGCGTTAGATACACCACCAGCAACAGCACCACCATCACCACAAACTATCCGGCTATAGTGCTTAGCTTCCCTTGTGACTAACTGTACAGGGAAACATGGCTCCCAGTAGCCATGTGACTAAATGGTGACCAATAGGATGTGAGCAGATGGGTCAGGTGCACTTCAGGGGCATGCAGACAGGAAACAGACTTGTCCTCCAATTCTTCTTCACCTGACCCATCAATTAGAATATGGCTGCGCTGGTGGGCAGTGAAGCATCCACCTTGGACCATGAGGTAAAAGCCACCTAATAATAACATTGTGAATGTCAGAGCAACAAGACACAAGGAAATGACCCCAAACACCCAGGAGCTGCCACTGAACCTGGGACTACTTACGATCCATCATTACATGAGAGGGAAATAAGTCTCTACCTCGTGTTGGCTTTGCTGTTGTTGTGGGCCATGGAGCCAACGTCGACCCCCAGAGACCCAGCAGGACAGGGCCAACTGCCCACAGGGTCTCCTAGGCTGTAATCATCTCAGAAGCAGACTGTCACACCTTTATCCATGGAAAGGCTGGTGGGGGTCAAACCACTGACGTTTCAATGAACAGCCAAACACTTAACAAGCGTTATCACCAAAACCCAAGCGAAAGCCATCGCTGTCAAGTTGATTGCAACTTGTAACCCTGGAGGTCAGAGGAGAACTGCCTCATGGGGTTGCCAAGACTGTAAATCTGTAGAGAGGCACACCACCACATCTTCATCCCAGGCTGCCTTCAGTTTGCAGCTGAGCACTTTAGCCACTAGCGACACCGGGCTCCGTATTCTTACTGAAGTCACTGTTAGTCTGCCCTTGGTGACAGCCGCCTACAGCTCTGGTAGCGTAGTGGTTACGAATCGGGCTGTTAACGTCAAGGTCAGCAGCTTGAAACTACCAGCTGTTCCACAGGAGAAAGATGAGGCTTTCTGCTCCCGTAAAGATTGACAGCCTCGGAAACCATGTACAGGGTCGCTATCAGTCAGAACCTACTCCATAGCACACAACCCCCACCACCATCACCACAGTACCCCAACTAGATTTCACAAAAGGTCCTCAAGCTGTTATCTGAGAAGACCTGGTCAACGTCCATCTTTGCGGACCACAGAACCCAGTTGGGGGTTTACGTAGACCCCTCGGACCTTTGCGTCTCCGATTTCATTGGTTTGACATCACGGGCTTGCAAAGATGATTTACACAAAGGGTCTCAGAGCCAAAGAAAAGTGCTACATGCTAGAACAGTGAGAAAAAGGCACCTCGGGCCATACACATTCATTCCACATAGATTAAATAAATATAAAAGAAAAGAGATCAAAACACTA